CCTTCAGTATGTGTCCTAAAGTCCAGTGGAATCTATTGAGAGACCTTTTGAATGCTGCCCCGTGCTGTGGAGGTTTTGTGCAGATGTCTGAATAGAGTTTACTAAGAGGTTCCGTTTGCTTTTTGTATTTTTGTGGGCACTGCTAATACAGGGATCAATACAGACCAGAGTGAAAGGGAACCCACTCGTCCGGCTCTCCCTGAAGGCATTGTATGCTTACTTGGACAAAAGTCATTATAGGCTTATGCAACAATGGTATAATAGAGTGAATTTCCTGGAAGCCAAACATGCCCGGGTTATATTTCATCCTAAAATCAAAAGAAAAATAAATGATTATTTCTTATTAATTAAATGACAGTATCTATACATTCCAGTAATATTTGTTTTTCAGCCTGACACTAATTTAAAGGCATAAATGGAAGGAAAAATGATTATTTACACACCCTCATGACGTTTCAAACACGTATAGCTTTATTTCCTTCATGTAACAACTATACTAGTCCCTCTTTTCCATGCATTTACATTAAATGGGGGCCAAGACTTCAAAAAGGATGCAAAAGCATTATAAAAGTATTATTAAAGTGTCCATATGACTGAAGTGTCCATACGACAAAGCACTTTGCATTAGTGGGGGGGGGACCCAATTCATGGATGGGACTGATGTGGTTCAACTCACTGACTCCAGTTGCAATGGAGCAGAAGATCAGCAGTGAATAATTATACAACTTCGATCTATAAAGCTCTTATATGACTTCAGAAGACTTTTAATAAAACTTTAATGATGCTTTTACAATCATTTTGAAGCTTGAAAGCCTCAGTCACCATTTATTGCTATGCATGTAGAAAAAAAGGAGCCAGAACTAGAAGATTTATCAAAATTGCTAATTTTGTGTTCCACAGAAGAGAGATAGTCAAACAGGTTTGGAACGACATGAGGATAAATAATGTCAGTATTTTCATTCGTTTTAGATGAACTATTCCTTTAATTAAAGGAAAAGACTGTATAATAGTAATGTTTATGACATGTATTGGTGAGATTCACCTTCTAAGGAACTCCTTTGTGAAGCCAGTCGGGTGTTTTAGTGTTTGTTTATTTATAAGGGGAAAAAAACAGTGTGCGTTGGAGTGTTCAGTTTTTTATTAGGTTTTCAAACTGTGGATTTATGTTGTCAAGATAACATAATACATAATTTACACCAGGCTTATCGGCCTTAATCACACTAAGAACGAGCAATGCATTATGGGTACCACTTAACCTCTAACATAAAGCTCACAGCTGATGCTTCCTGCCAATGGGCCGGATCTAAAAATGAAAATCTCTTGGAGGAGTGTTTCTCTGTCAAAGCAGGTGATGCACCCAGGAGAGCATCAGGAGCAGTGAAGAGAGACGGAAGGAAGCCCCTTTCTCTTCTTGTCACTCAGTGTAAGACGTGGGTGACACTGTGAAAAGTTTATGCTCTCCCATTGAGATGTGTGAGTATCTGTGTGTGTGTGCAAAACACGGGACACCTGTCACTGTGTGGAGGGGCTAGAAAATGCCTCAAAATCTTGGCGATGGAGGTTGAGAGTGCACTGGTCATAATAGGTCATTGGGTCCTGATATGTGCACCTGGGTCCTGTCGCAAGAGCTCCGGTTCACAGCTGGAGTAGACAATGGTATCATTACACCACCCAAATCCATCCCAGCCCCAGATAACCCATAATAAGACTCATATGTCTCAGAAAGAATGCATATGTTTTTTACTAAGTGCATTTGACTTAGGATGCATACGGAAAATCCCTGCTAGAGAATTGAACACCTGCTTGCGAATGTGTCAGAAATCTGGGCAGAAAAGCAAAGATAACCCACTCACACTGAGACAGATTAGTGTGCGGTGGATGACTTCCACCATGCCAAGCACCTTTTGATTAATATGTTTGCATTGCAAAGTGCTATGCATTTCTACCAGGATGCTCTTGCACATGCAAAATAATAAGCATCTTTTTCTGAAATGTTGGCATGCTGTCTCGCGCTAGGGTTTGGGCTGCTTTCAGTCTCTTGTTTGGACAAATCTGACAAAGCCTTTGAGTTTAAGAACAGCAGTTAACTCATTGCTTATCAAACTGAATGTGAATTTTTAAAGATGAGTTTCCATTAAAGAAATGCCAAAGGGGATGGAATTTGTCCCAGCCCTGCGAAAGCATTAGTCAAATCTCGTCTTGTTTAAGGGGGGTCTGGAAATCACGTCTATCACGGTTGCTCGTGGAGAAATACATGCGCTGAAATGAATGAGGAGCTTTATGTGCTTGTTAGTGCTGTTGCGCATAGAATGCTGTGTAAGGGGGCGTTCATATGGAGGATGTGTTTGTTCAGTGCTATTTTTCACTCAAGTTGTGTTCCTGTCTTCCTTTTGAGCATGTATTTTTTTAATTATATGTTTATATCAGGGTCAGAAATGTTGAAAATCCCAAAGAATTGTTCACATATCTGTTCATTCAGAAACAAAACAATTGTGATGGTCTTTATGAATGAGTCATTGCAGTCATTAGTTTAACCAATTCTTTCAAAAAACTTGATTCATTCAGGAACAACACTGTGTCTGAATATGCCTACTTCCATATATAATGCAAAAAATGTAGGCTATTTATGTCCGAATTCATAGTATTACTTCTGTCAATATTCTTAAGTATGCATTCGATGGACACTTTACTACCACATGAAGACACAGGAGAGGGTTTGTGAATGGCAGTGAAGTGCAACTGACTGCATATGCAACTGACTTTGATAGGTCACGTGATCACGTGATAGGTAACATGGTGGATGAAGCACGTCCGAATTTTATTACCCCATATAGGCTACTACCACTGCTCTATAATTGATCTATTATAGAGAACATTATATAGATCAGTGCAAACTATCCATATTCATAGTATATAGATCTACTTTTAAACAGTTGTAAAGTAAGTTTCAAACCAAATAGTACCTACTAGACAGCGTGCGATTTCGGGTGCAGGTCGAAACTTTTGTGGGTGAGTCACTGATTCGTTTACTCAAGCGATTCAACACTGATTCGTTCAGGAACGCTACACTGTAAAAAAATTATTGTGATTTTAACAGTAAAAGACTGTAAAAATGCTACAGCAAAAACCTGTTAACTGGTTAACAGTAAGTTTCCATACTATATTCGGTGAATACATGTAATTACATTTAATGTAATTTTACAGTAAAATACTGTTAAAAATAAGTTTTTTGGAAGTGAAAAAGAAAAATTCAATGTATAATTTACAGTGACAAACTGTAAATTGACACTCCCAAAATTCCCTGCATGACACTTCATATTTGATGTTTTTTTTTTGTTGAAATAACATGTTTTCTCTTAGTTTTTTTCTTATCAGTTGTGTACATTAGGGTTTAATCTTACATGTAATGTTGTTAAATGAATGTTTATTGCATTATTTCAGAATCATGTGTGTCACCATGATGGGGTTTAGTGTTTGTGTGAATGACACTGTGCACCTTCTATATATAAGTATTGCCCTCCTCAGCTTGTAGAAAAGCTGTTTGTGATGAGCTTTGGTTCATCATGTGACTTTCTCATCACCAGCAGTTTTTGGTGGTTATCAGTGCATTACAATGGTTCAAAACAGATATTAGTACTTCAATATTTTGGGTTATTAACATTACATCAGTTAATGAAATACGGTATTTTATTGTGAATTTAAGTTAAGTCTGTAAAACCTAAAATGTTGCTACCATATTTTTTACGGTGAAGTTCTGGCAACCACAGCTGCCGGTATTTTACCGTAAATGTCACAGATTTTTTTTTACAGTGTACTGCTGCTACAAATGGTTGTTTTTGCTTCGAATGATCTCTTCCGTTGGCGGACCTAAAAAGACAAAGCAACTGGTAATAGCTGTAGGCTATAAAATGTAAGTTGCTTATAAACTGTTAACTCCTTGTTTATTGGACTGCTGTACACTGAAAAACATGGTGGTGAAACAATTTTGACTCAGAAGTCGCTAGTACATTTTTCAAATAATTACAAAGAAAAAGCAAGACATATTGAAAATGTGAAATCTTGAAGCAGAAAAACTGAAATAATAATATTTGAAATAATAATCTATAAGACTTGTAAAACGTATTCCAATATACTTAGGAAGTTTTTGGTAAGGGTTAAAAGGAAATAATGCCTCATAGCAATAAAACAGTGCCCATTAATGGACACCGGGATTCATGTTGAATAAAGTTTGTCTGACACTGGTCTATCAGACGGATGCATCGCGTCTCGCACCGTGGCCGTCGCGTTTTAAAACAGCCTGCCAGGTTAAAAACAAGCAGATCAACTTTTCAAAACGCGTCAAGACTGTTCCAATCCGTTACGCCCCGTCTAGCTGCTGAACGCAAGAGCGCGTCCTGTGTAAACGCCTCCCAACACCTGCGGCGGGGAATACCTTGTGGAGAGCAGCAGCTTACACTCAGACTAAATATAGATCCATCGCGAGGGAACCCGGACACCGCGCTTCCCCACACTGATCTTTTATCTGCATTTTGTGATTAGCTAGAAAGTTTGATTGTATCGGTGGCATCTTTCCCCGTTTTTAAATCTAATTTTTATGATTCAGAAAAAATTGGGTTTCTTTAAAGAAAAAGATCTTAACCTTAGCTACAACTACACACGCGTAAAGCGCATTTTTAACTCATTGTTCTTTGCGGTGCGCACACGCTATCCAACAATTGCGTGCTCGAGGCTCCACTTGCTGTGTCTTAAGAAGCGATTGAGGAGAAAACAAGCATATGGAGATCACTGTCTAACGACCTGTAGCTCGAATCGATCCAAGCAACCTCGCCAAACACGCACATACTTTGTCGCATTGATTTAAAAAATGCGCGTTTGTTTGATGCGCGTCGTGTGATCTGGTGGATCTGCTAGTTTCCCCGCCGATGGAGCCGCAGTAATTCGTTGTCTTTGTCATTTTTACAACAAATTAGGTGGGGCGGTTTGCTTATATTTTGAAGATCCGAACCAAAAAAGCCTTACATCTAGACCACCCGTGATCTGTGAAGACTTGTAAATCCCTATACCTGGTTTCGTGGTGAGGGCTGCGCAATTGCGCAAGCTGCGAGAGTACTATCGGACCTTTCCATGGAATCCACTCCACGCGTGATCACCACTGAGGGTGTCGGTCCGATCTGATGTGGGGTAAAAAGTTGCCGTCTGGACAGTAAATCACATATATGAGGATCAATACACACGTGCTAGTCAACACAAAGCGCAAAAATGCCTATGCATCCGGTGACTTCCACTTTGATGTACCGGGGGATCTGCACCATTCCTGATATCTTGTCGTACCGGGCACCGGTCAATCTACCTGAGGATGAAGTGGAAGGTGAGTAAGAGAGTCCTGATGGTGCTTGAAGCCTATATTCTGTTCTACCATATATTAAAACGACTAAATTATTACACATGTTCGCATCGCTTTTGTGTATTTTAACCTGTTTCCTAGACAGAAGGTCGGTGTTTTGCGCACCTGTTCGGCGTTTGTTCTTTTCTTTTTTTCTCGTTTCTTATTGACCCAGTTTCGATTTATAATGTGTTGTAAGTGAACGTGAAGAGAAATACTGATTTTTTTGTTTGTTTTCTTTTTGGTTAGAACAGTTCGGAAGGATTCAGCACCACGCACAGCGCAGTTCACTTAAAACGCGTGAAAATCCTGTTACCCGTGCCTGTGTTTCTCTATGAGGCGGATAAATCTGATGGTGTGATTTATGGAAAGTAGGTCTATCACAAGCCAGCAGAAAGACCTGTGAGTGGTATTCTGCAGTTGTGACATCTCTTTGGCTTCAAACAGTTTTTCAGCGTGTGTGAGTGGATCAGTAGTGAATCCAAATATAAAGTCTTTGACACGCCATTCTAACCCGTAAAGCACTTTTATTTTTAGATTCTGAAACACAGTAAACTAAAGATACATATGCAATTCGACAGAGTAGGCTACTTCCATAACACAGTTTCTCATTTATGTCAGAAAGTTTACTCTGATGAGTATCCAACTGGATATAATTAGTATAAAAACAGAAGTAGTCACATTATATTCCACATTTGATACCTACAGTATAATTGGCTTTTCTGATTAAAATGTTTTGTGTGATTTAAGGAGAGTAGATTCCACATAAGCCAGCAAAAAGACCTGATCATGGTATGCAGCACTAATGAGGACCTCTCATTTGGAGTGACGACTGTGTCAGTGAAAAACACAAATTTGTTGATACCATGTCGTTCTAAGCATAAAACCAACACTTTTACTTTTTTAGAATCTGAAACATATTGCACTATACAATATGCAAATGAATAGACTGGTTGATTTATACATATACTACAGTTTACCCCAGTGTTCCCCAATAATGGTCATGGAAAATCCCTGAATTGCACATTTTGGATGTCTCCCTTAATTAACACACTTGGTTTATATCATCAGCTCATTAGTAGTGGCACCAAGACCTGCACTGGTGCATCAGATAGAGACAAATCCAAAATGTGCAGTGCTGTGGACCAAGGAAAACAACTGGTTTACCTTGATAAATATCCAATTAAATAAAATCATTACAATGTCATTTGAACTAGACGCATTATAGTCTACATGTTCAATACCAGCAAAATAAATGGCTTTTTATTTTGAAAATAAAATGTTTTTTTTTTCTACTGTGCAATGCTTTTAGGCTACATGTTCCAAGTTCAGGATTAAAAATCACTGGTTTACCTTAAGTATCCACTTAAATAAAATGAGTAAAGTGTAATTTGAACTAGACATAGCATATTCAATACAGGAAAATAAATGGCTTTTTATTAAGAAATTTTTTTTCACAGTTTTTTTTCACCACCGTGCAATGCTTTAGGTAGGTTACATGTGAAATGCAAACTATAATCAGCTCAGATTGCTTCAAAATCCCATGCTTTTTCATTTAACGTCAATGCATGTTCACAAAATTTGAAATCAGTATGCAATTGCAAAAATATAAATATTTGTAATGTAGCGGTCTGTAATTGTGAATTTCAAACTGTGCCATCAAACACATTCATTCAGATGAGTTTTTCCATTAAACCTTGTATATTGACGACTGACTGGTGTGATTGTCAGCTCAGTTCAAAGTGTCTTTCCAGATCAATCTTTTGAGATTCAGGTTTAATTAAGCATCTCAGGACCTCATTGCAATTCCATTCATCAAGGGATGTTTTCTATCAGTTCATTTAGTTATCCTATAACCCCAGAAAAGAAAATACAGTTTTTTTTCACCACCGTGCAATGCTTTAGGTAGGTTACATGTGAAATGCAAACTATAATCAGCTCAGATTGCTTCAAAATCCCATGCTTTTTCATTTAACGTCAATGCATGTTCACAAAATTTGAAATCAGTATGCAATTGCAAAAATATAAATATTTGTAATGTAGCGGTCTGTAATTGTGAATTTCAAACTGTGCCATCAAACACATTCATTCAGATGAGTTTTTCCATTAAACCTTGTATATTGACGACTGACTGGTGTGATTGTCAGCTCAGTTCAAAGTGTCTTTCCAGATCAATCTTTTGAGATTCAGGTTTAATTAAGCATCTCAGGACCTCATTGCAATTCCATTCATCAAGGGATGTTTTCTATCAGTTCATTTAGTTATCCTATAACCCCAAATCTCAGGGCTGCTTCTCATGCTCTTAACCCTTGAAAACCTGCTGGTCTGAACTAACACAAGCTAAAATGCGATAAAGAGACAAATGCAAAAGATGAGAGGTCACATATGGATGTTCCCTGTAGTACTTGATTGTTTGCATTCTGCACATACACAAATACCCACGTGTGAATATGACAGTCAATCTATGTGAAAATATGCGTGCATGTTCGCAAAGAAAAACTGTGCCGCATGTGCTCATCCTAGAACATATATTGTAGTTTGTGTTGCATTTCCATAGAGATGGAAAATAGACAGTAAATATGAAGAGACAAAGCACTGGGTTTCATCCCCATAACAGTTTTGCTTTTACACAGATTTGCTCAGCAAATATAAATGTAGCTCATTGACCAAGTTGTTGGTGCATTTGCCTCACACTGATGAAGTAGGCCATGTTCAATTTCGTCCTTAGGATATATAGTTGTTTATTTGTGAATCTTGAGTTTGAGCCAGATTTTTATATTTTGCTTTGAACTCGTATGACACGCTGGGGGCAGAAACTGAGATGCAATTTGTGAGCTAGATCCGTGCATCTTTATTTTAGTTAGCAATATTTCATCATAAACCCGTCCTTATTCAAAATGAAGAATGAGGATAAGAGCCTCAGCTATAAAGCTTGAGGAATTCATTTGTATTCTCAGTTGAAGATTGCTTAAAGTCTGGTTCATCCAAAAGACATTATCTCCTGACTGTATGCTCACACATACTGGTTAACCCGCTGATAACATCCTTTAAAGAATTAGTTCACACAAAAAAATTAAAATTCTGACATCATTTAGTCATTCCAAGCCATTTTTTTGTTCTTCAATGGAAAACTAAGATGAATTGAGAATGGAGCCTGTTAAGCTTTCCAATTAATTTAGATGACTTGTGCGCTGTATTTCAAGTCTTTTGAGGCGTTGTGTGAAGAACAAACTGCTATGTAAGGCATTATTTACTGATAATCCTCAGTTCCAGTGGGCTGTTAGCCACTGTGAATGAATCAAGTCAGTGAGTTGAACACAAGAATCGAATGAGTCGGATTAGTGAATGAATCTTTAGTGAACTGGTTCAATTGATTCATTGAAAAGATCTGATTAGAATTTTTTTTTTCACAAATCAGACATCGAATCTCACTACATATTTCACATATTTACACACAGGAGATCTTTTTATGAAAAATTTCCTCCTAACATATGCATTTGTTCTTAACTTCGTTCTAATGTTAATGTATTCGATGAAATTCGATGAAAGAATGTATGTATAAAATGTAATCTAATCTCATTTCATCTAGGGAATAGTTCTCCTAAAAATAAAAAATTGCTAAGAATGTACTCACCCTCAGGCCATCCAAGATGTAGATCAGTTTGTTTCTTCATCTAAAAAGATGTGGGGAAATTTAGCATTACTCCACTTGCTCTCCAATGGATCCTCTGCAGTGAATGGGTGCCGTCAGAATGAGAGACCAAACAGCTGATAAAAACATCACAATAATCCACACCACTTCAGTCCACCAGTCCAATGTCTTGTGAAGTGAAAAACTGCATGTTTTTAAGAAACATATCCATCATCAAGACGTTTTTAACTTTAAACCACAAACCGCTTCCTGCTAAAATACAAGCTACAACCATAATATTGCTCTCTCCTGTGAAAAGGTTGTCTAGTCTGAATCAGGAGAGAATTATGCACAGATCAAGCACAGTTTACAAGTACAAACAGTCCATATGTCAGGTATTTTGACGTAAGAGGACAACAGGGGATTGATATTTTCACTGGACAAAGAGTTATGTATGATGGACTTGTATTTTGGCCAGAAGCAACGGTTTAAAGTTAAAACGCTTTGATTATAGACTTGTTTATTACATATACACAGCTTTTTCAGATTTAAATTTTTGGGTGAACTATTACTTTAACACATTTGTAAGGCCAGCCAGAGTATGTGATTTTTAATTATGTGTGGTTGTAGTGGTTCCTACATTTTAAATACATTTTAGTACTAAAGTTACTGATCAATCTTGAATTGTTCATGAAAATAGTTGTATGCAAATTTCATATACAAATTCATTATTACTTCCCTCACAAGGACAAATAGCAAGATTTTCAATGGATAACAGCTTACATTTCGGTTTGTTCCTCATGCAAATATGTGACCCTGGAGCACAAAACCAGTCTTAAGTCGCTGGGGTATATTTTTAGCAATAGCCAAAAATAGTCAAAATTATAGATTTTTTTTTTATGCCAAATTTTTTACATTTTGTAAATAAAAAATGATTTTATGCCAAAAATCATTAGGATATTAAGTAAAGATCATGTTCCATAAAAAATTCCTACCGTAAATATATCAAAACTTAATTTTTGATTAGTAATGTGCATTGCTAAGAACTTCATTTGAACAAATTTAAAGGCGATTTTCTCAGTATTTAGATTTTTTTGCTCCCTCAGATTCCAGATCTTCAATTCAGTTGATAAATTTCAATTCATTTTCAAATAGTTGTTTCTCGGCCAAATATTGTCCTATCCTAACAAACTATACACCAATGGAAAGCTTATTTATATATGTATTTTTTTTAAACGGACCCTTATGACTGGTTTTGTGGTCCAGGGTCACGTATTTTAAATACGTGCAAAAGTCACTTTTATAATGTGTTTTTGTCATTAAAAAGACTGGCCAGAATATTCTATAAAACTCA